CTTAAATTTCATCTCAAGGTAAGCTATAAAATAGAATTATAAGTTTTGTTCTGAAAATGTACTTGAGTAAACTTGGGGAAAAGAAAATACATGGAAACCAAAACAAGAAAAAAAAATGGGATTTAAAAAATGAGGAATATGGGATATATGAGAAGCCTAGCTGAGATTCTAGTTTAGTTCAGATTGGACATTACCGGTTGTTTTCAATAACTGAGCATTTGGAAAAGTTATTCATATGCTACAAAATCTGTGTGATCACCAGAAAGAAAGCAATAGATAAATAGAAAACATGGCCAATGATAACAAAATAGCTATTATTAAATTTGTTATAAAAATGAAACATCATAAATCATTCCAAGGCTCATAAATGATCAATGTTGACACAGTTAAAATAATATAAGTCTGAACTTCTAAGTACAAAGAGGTGATAATACTATGTTGGAAGATGGATGACATGAAAGGAAAGTGGATCTTGATGGGCAGAACGTATAATTCCTCAATTACCTTTATGAAAAGCCAAGAGACAATAATGACTGAAATTGATAAATTGAGCAAGAACAGCATAATCACTTCATTTAAGGTAATGGAATAAGGATCAGAAGAACTAGCTGAAAGAACTGACTAGGAGCCACATGTGGTGGTGCACACCTGTAATCCCAGCTACTAGGAGGCTGAGGCAGGAGGATTTGTTTTGGAGTTCCAGTGGGCTTTTATTGAGATAAATTAACAAAAATCAAGATTTCTCCAACCATCTTTTTCTGAACCTTATATAACTCAGCAGTCTCTGGTCCACATACACGTACATACAACATAACACATTCCAACAAAAACAGAGCCCCACTGGAACGAACACTTGCCAATTAACAGAAAGTCAATTTTCTCTTTTCCTAAATGTTTTCAAAATTTTGAGTTCCCACTGTTCACTTCTCAGTGTCACTGGTTCCTTGTGGCTAGGGACCCTGGAATTTTCTCCCATTTTTAATGAACAAAAATTACATTTTTTAAAGTTTGTTTTGTTTCAAAAAAAAAAAGGAAAGTAACTTTGTTTTCGCTGGGCACCCCTCCCAACAACCACTGGTTAAAATACAGGAGCCTGTATCTTAACAACCCAGCCCTACCCCGCCCTTGCCCTGCCCAGCATCAGCTGCTCCAGAATTTAAATACACTTCTGTTAGAATCTGTCAGCTATGGAGGGGCAGAGTCCAGGTGCCAGGCTAGCTCCCTCTGACCTCATGAACTCTGACAACCTTTGGACATTTAACTCTTTACCCTAAAGATGAGTTTTAGGATCAGAGAAGAGTTTAGATTTTCCTCTGGAGTTAAAAAAAAAACAAAACACCATCAAAAAAAAAAACCCTTTAGAAATATAAAGTACAAGGTCACGAAAGTCCACCTAAGTTCACCAAAAAGCTGACTTATTTCAGCTCTTATGAGGTCAATAATTTTGCCTGATAAAGCTATTTGGCAAGAAAATGATTCCACAGTAACAATTTTAAAGATATGTAAGACAATTGAAAAAAAGCACAGCAAATTAAAATAACATGGCTTAATTCCCAAGAACTTATCTCATCATTTTGTTACTCATCTACTAGGTCAGGAGTGTGGCTAAAGGCAGTTTCTGATGAGGTTATGAGCTTCCAAAGTGTTTCTAAATCCTTAGTACAGACACCCTCCCCTTTTGGGGGCACAGTGCCCTCCCTCCAACCCTTTATTAAGAAAAAAATTAAATCAAGTGATCAGAATGAGATGTTTTGATTTCAACAATCTACACTCAAAGCTTTGTGCTGAGTTATCTTGTTCTAACCCAATATGATGGCATCAAACACAAAGCAAGTGACAAGGGAAAGATGGTCCCATCTTATTCTGAAAACAAATACTGATAACCACCCACCCCACTCCAACATTTTTGGGCCAACCCGATGTTTACGGATGCTGGGACCAACTTGAAAATAATTCCGAAATATATTTAGGTTTTCCTCTTTCTTACTTCTTCTAAGAACAATCTTTTCAGATAAACTTATTCTACTCTAAAGTGAAAGGCAATAGTTTCTTCCACCTTCAGAACATGAGCTGGATGTAATTATAATACAGGGACTAGTTCTCATCTAAATAAACCACTGGAAAAAAAATATATAACCATTACTTAGAAACAAATCCAATACAATTTCTAATAGTAACAATTCTCCTTATTTTGAGGGATTAAAAAAACAAAAAAGCCCAGGGATTTAGCTCAGTGGTTCTGGTGCTGAGGCAGGAGGATTTTGATTTTGAGACAAACCTAGGCAACATTAGGAGACTTCATCTAAAAGAAAAGCAATTGAATAACTGCAAAGAATGGCTATGGACACAGCATAAGAGCTACTGTTTTGAACTGCAAATCATACAGTAATGTTTAATTTTTTAAATATCCAAATATTTCCTGGGGTAAAAAAATTATCCACCTTCCTAAAACACCACACTGTCAAAAAGCTGTAGTGTGGTTTTGAATTCACATATTCAACAGTGGATTTAAAACTTCTGCATTCCTATCAATGGTTTAAAAAGCAAAGGGTGTATATAAGTAGATTGGTTGTAGCATGAATCTCAAATGTGATAACCTTCATGTCTGATAAAAACAAATGCTAACAGAGGACAACTTAAAAAGTCTTTAGAAAGTAACTTTTATAGAGATTCAAAAAAATAAAACCTTTAAAATTCTTTCTCAGTTCAATCTGTGGGAAAAGCTTGACTAGTTATTTTTCAGATTTTCATAAATAATTTCAAATAAGGATATCAAATAAGACACATATACACACTGATTAAAAAGTATTTAAGAGTCTCCTCTCATCAGTTTCAGCACAGTATTATGGCAAAACTCCTGCTGTGTTTTCTTAATAAAACTCCCTTCACCCTCATGACAAGGGAGCCATCACACAATGTGTGACAAAGGGAGGGCAGAGTGAATTCAAATGCCAAGGACATGCAAGGACTGTGAATTAAAGGAGATGTTTTCAATCTGCCCAGGAGGAAACCAGTGGGAATACTAGAACATAAGGGATGAAGACTGTTTCTATTTTTAAATAGTTTTGAACCCAGGACCTTAGGCATACTAGGCAAGCACTCTACCACTGAGCCATATCCTCCGGTCCAAGGATGTTTTCATAAAAAGAAAACATGTTTTAACCAACATGGTTCATAACTTTTTCAACGTAGCAGTAGAAAAAATGTATGATAATTAGGAAAAAGAATGAGAATAGCAGACAACTCTCTGAGTCACTTTTCCAACACTGACAAAAATACTCAAAACCTGCGAATCTGAGGGGGAGAGGTTTATCTTGGCTCACAGTTTCAGTCCTTGGGCGGCTGACTCTAAAACACAAACAGCAAGGTGGAAGGGCCTGGGTGCAGAAAGCTGCTCCCTCCATGGCAGTCAGAAAGCAGAGAGTGAAGGAAGGAGCCAGGGACGAAAACAGAACCTTCCAGATCACGCCCCAGCCCAGTGCCCTGCCTCTTTTATCCAGGCCCTACCTCCTACAGCACACTCAGCTGCTGAACTCAGGAGTGCACTGATCCACTGAGGAGCACAGCACCCCGTGATCCATTCACCTTCCAAAAGCCCCACTCTAAACACCTAAGCCTCTGGGGGACATTCTACATTGAAGCCATAAAACAATCTATTTTGAAGAAGTATATTTAAAATGAACTTGAAACAACAGAGTTGTTATAATCTGTGCTCCTAAGAACTCCATGTTCACCTGCAATTCTGGCTCTGCTTTATAATATAGATAGAAAGAATTTTTGTTTTATTTTTGGTCACTGCAGTTGTTTGTTTGTTTTTCTCCATGTCAATCTAAAGTAGTTCAGCAACAGTCAGGACAAAACTTGGCAACTTGTAACACCTACTGGTAGCAAAACAAAGCTGAGGGGAATACTATTGAAAATAACCTTGAGTCAAGTTAAATAATAAAAATAGAAAGCATTGATTATGAATGAAGAAACATCATTCTATGTCAAATAAACTCAACTTTAATTAAATTTCCAATGAAAAGTTCTCAAAATCTACTCTGATCAAATACATATACAGATACTAAGACTTTAAAAGGACTCATTAATTGCAAGCACTAGCTGTAATTCCTCCTAACAAAGTTTCACTAGGAATACTAAACAGTTAAAAAAAAAAAAAAAGGGTTCCTGAGCTTAAATGAGACATAGGAGAAGACAAGAGTTAAAACAATGTCCTAGCTTAATAGCTAATGTTCAGGGTTCCCAATGCATTCACTCGTATGCTCCTTACAACAACGACATGAGGTAAGTTCTATGATTAGCCTCATTTTAGAGCTGAACAATAAAAAAACAAAAGTACAACTGAATTAACGCCATGCCTTCCAATATGTGACACTTCTCAGAGTTAAGGAGTCACTGCCCACCCACACAGCATCTCTCAGGGAGTCCTCCTTGCCCTGGTGACTGAGTGCTTCAGTGGTGTTTGCTGACATTTTCACCTGCTGATTTCTACAGCTTCACTGTCTACCTCCCTCAGGGCTGACTCTAGGTTTGCCAGGATGATTAGGCAATGTCTATACTCTGTACCACACTCACCTGCACTGGGCTGCAGTTTTTGGTTTGATTAGATTCTGAATAATGAAATAAGAAAAATCCATTTGACAGGCTCTTCAAAGTGGAAGGCAGCTTCTGTTTTGATAAGCAGTTGTTATCAGTTCCGTACTACTTACTGTTTTCTTAGAGGAAAAACCCACTGTTGGTGTTGGTGTTGGTGGGGCACCTTAGCTGTGAGTCAGCCACTTGTGCTCTGGATGAATGTGAAGCTCAAGAAGTTATGTGATTTGCCCAAAATATTAATGTTCTTCAGAGGCAGAGCCATAACTAAAACCTAAGTCTCCAAGCTTCATGCAAGGATTCCTTTCTTGTTTTCAAGATAGAGCTAAGCCAAGTATTAAAATCTAAAACTAATAAATTATTTAAGTGGCTGATAATGCTGAACACAAACCCAGTGTTCTTACCTGTAAGAACCGTACATGACTTTCTGGCAGTCAACTAACAAAAATTTCTGTTCCATTTTTCCATGGAATTTTGCTCCCGTTTTTGAAAGATAATCTTGGCCTTTCACTGTCCGCATTCGAATGTTCTAAAATTATATGTACATATAAAGTAAAAATTATGGCTGGAAAGGAGATATTTTCAAAAGTAAAATGCATATCAATATAAAACCTTACTATCCAAAATATTAACCTGAGGTGAACTTTTAAGACACATGAAAATTAATGGAAAGAAAATTTCAAAAGTTATCCTCAAAACTCAGTATTAAAGAAAAATAATCACCTGAACAATATATTTTAATATATCTAAAACAGGAAACAATACTTTACATTTACACAGAATGCTTCATAAATCCCTTAGGATCCTACTATGAGAAAACTTTATAGACTGTAGGACCACGATGACCAAAGAGATAAAATTAAAATCAGTCTTCCTTTCAAAAGTGAAACAACTGACGTCTACACCAAATGATTCTGCCAAACAACACCTGCTGAATCCAAGAATCACTTCGAATCAGTGGGTTCAAGGCTATAGATGGCTGGGTAGCAAAATTAACTCAGAAATGTACAAGATGAAAGTGCATATTTCATTCACATTCTGAAAAGGACAAGGGGGCCCTTCTGTGATCAATTATTTTATCACTGTACATATACATATTTTCCCTTTTCCTTTTGGAATATTCTATCTTAATATACCTTAAATTTGACTATGATGAAAATGGTACACAAAAATACTTGAGAAAAAAAGAGAATTCCTACCCTGAGACGCTGAATTTGACAACCTTGTTTTTCAGTCATGTTGAGAAAGTGATTAAAATTGAACTCATCGAGCAAAATATACACAGATATCCCTCGAGTTGATGCCTCCACTATTTCTTTGAAAATGTCCACATCTGTAAATACATCCATCACTAAGGCAATGACCTGTGAAAGATAAGAATGAGAAACAATTAGGATACTTAACAGAGATAGATGAAGAAATTTCTTAGTTTTGAAAAATGCCAAACAAAATACAGAACAAATACATATGTATAAATGTATATACAAATAAGAAAACATATTAAAGCTAAGGAAAATATAGAGTGAATGCTTAAATAAAAAGTCACTACAATAAAAGGTATATGCCATTAATCTCCTTTAAAATAGTCCTCAGAAAGTCAGGACCTTGAAAACATTATGAGGTGTCCTTATCCACCTTTTTCACATTTGCCACTGTGTGACTTTTGGCTCTTCCACAAAGTCAAAATGACCATTAGAGTTATAAAGGTTTTTGAATTTGATTGAGGGTGCTCTGGCAGCCAGGACAGTGCAACTGAAGACATTCACAAAAGAGGACTTCCACACTGCTTCAGAAATGGGTGAGAAGGATGGCATAAGTGTGTTTGAAGAGAGGGGGAATATTTTAGGGGGACTAATGGCAACATGTCCTTTGTTATAATAATTTTTTAAAACTTCAAACATCCCTCCTATTTTTTTATCACACTCATGTGTAGATTTCTACCAGTAGTAATTTTCATATTAATGCTGACTTAAAGGAAATCTGGATTTCAGTAGGATTTGGGGCAAAGGGCGAACCAAGGTACGGAATGCAAGGTTGTCTGATGGGTAGACATGGGAGCCAGTGTGGGAATCAGTTTAATAATCTTTCTTGGGGGATACCTCCAGGGAAAAGTAGGATTTCTAGAACTAGAGATTTTTTGGTTTTTAATTTTCATTAGTCCGTGTTTGCAGTACATGACTGCATTCTTTGTGTGGAGCTGGAACATGCACACAACACATCTCTATTCTTTTTTCATTTCTTTCCCTCCCCTTTCTCCCCCTGCCCTTTATCTCTTGATCCCCCTCCCACTTGAGAAAGACCTCCCTATTTCCTATTATCTTTTATTTTGCTCTTTATTTATATTTTGGGTTTCTCACGCAAAGAGAAAAAGCACGTTATATTTACACTTGTGTGTCTGAATTATTGCACTTAACATTATGGTCTCAAGATGCATCCATTTTCTTACAAATGACTCAAGTTTATCCTTCTTTATGTCAAAGTGAGAAAAAAAATACCAGCTATTTGTTGGGCAGAGGGCTAAAGTCTACACTATATAAAGAACTCAAATAATTAGAGACCCATACAAAAGACCCAATAGCAAAACTGGGCAAGTGAAATAAAAAGACACTTCTCACAAGAAGTGTAAATGGCCAATAAATACATGAAAAAGTGCTCAACACCTCTGGGCATTAGAAAAATGCAAGTTGAAACAACACTGAGATTCCCTCTTACTCCTGAAAGAATGGCCATCATCAAGAAATCAAATAATAACAAATGCTGGAGAGGCTGCAGGGGAAAAGGAGCCCTTCTACACACTTGGTGGGACTGTAACCTAGTACAACCACAATGGAGATCACTATGAAGATTCCCAAAAATCTAAATCTAGAAATTCCTTTTGACCCGGCTATTTTTCTTCTAGGTGTCTTCCCCAAAGACCCAGAAATAGTTTTTTTAAAGATTATAACTTAACTGACTGATCAACTACTCTATGTATCACACATACCACTTAAAATATGACAGACAAGAAAACAAAAGCCCTGGCCTTGTCATGTATACTTTCTCCAAGCAAAGAACAGGACATAAAAGTTATGAGTAAATTATGTGATAAGTTATAAGATGAAAAGGCATTTTGGGGGAAAAACCAAGTAGTACAAGGGAGACCGGGTTCATGGAGAGTGAGAAGGAAGAATGTTGGGTGCATAGGAGGGTCTCCTTAGTACAGCAACTGAAATCATCCACAGGGACATCACGGGGAAGACTGTGCCAGGCAGGGGAACCAGGGCTCTGCTAGGGCACAGTCAGGAAACAGGGAAGGGGGAAAGATCATGCCCCAATGGCAGGCCAGGGACTGCAGTGCTTCTTTCTAAGTAAAATGATAACTTATTAGAGGGCTATAAGTTGCAGTGATAACATGATCTGACTATGTGTGAAAAGGATGGCACAGGCTACTGCATTAAGAACAAATTTTAGGAGTAAGTGCAAGGGTGGGAACAGGGAGGCCACTTGGAACAGACTACCAGCGCAGCTGAGCTGTAGGAGGAAGGGGCAGCTGGGATTGGGATGTAGCCCGAGTGAAGAAAAGCAATGGGTAGATAAAGCTGTCTCTGGGCCAGGGGGACGTGTGGAGGGATTGAATGTGAATGTCACTGACCTGAACCGCAGAGTCCACATTAGGTGCAATCAATTTTAGGTACAACAGAAAGAAGGGAAGTTGAGGGCCTGAATATTCAGGTAGAATGCTGAGTAGAGATAACTGGGTATCAGTGACACAGCCATGGCAAGTTCAGCAAAGGAGACGGAGTTAATACAAACAGGAGGACTTTCTGAGGGCTGTGCAGGCAGTGTACAAAGGAAGAGGGTGATGCTCCCCTGCAAAGCCACGGGGAGGTTAGTGAAGAAGTAAGAGCAGAGACGTTGCAGAGGGCACTTAAGAGAGTGGCACAACAGATACTGGATATATCAGGTGGCACACACCTGTAATCCACCACTCTGGGAGACTGAGGCAGGAGGATACCTAATTCAAGCCCAGCCTAGGTACTTTGGTGACTTAGTGAGACTCTGTGACAAAATAACAAATAAATAAACAAGTAAATAAATAAAAAGGGCTGGGGATGCAGCTCAATGTGAAGGCTCTGGGTTCAATTACCAGTACTGAAATTTTAAAGAAATGCCAAAAAATACAGATATATACAACTGGTTTGTGTACTTTGGCTACAATGGGAAGCAAAGAAATAGAACAATAGCTGCAGGTAAAATTGGGTGAAACTCAGTTGTACTTTAGTTTTAAGGAGAGAGAAATAGCAGTACTTTATGTCTTCATGCTATTAAAATAAAATGGAGTCTAATGATGAAGAGAAGGTGGGAGGGGAGCAACATCTTTGTGTAGGCAATAAGAGGTAGAACCTAGTGCAAAAGTAAAACAATTATAGTACCAGGAGTAAGGATCAGCAAAGGATCACCTATAACAGGAAGCTGGAAGGCTACATATAAATATTTATGATAGTAGGTCAAGGGATTTAGCTCAGAGGTTCCATTGCCTACCTTGCAAGTGCAAGGACCCGAGTTCGATCCCTGGTACCAAAAATAAATAAATAAATAAATAAATAAATAAATAAAGTAGTATACATACATACACACACACACACACACACACACACACATATATATATATATAAATATGGTAGTATATATAACTATATATATTAGTCGCTGGTGGAAGAGCAGATGTGCAGTGCTGCTGTGGATGCTGAGTCTTCTGTGTCCCGTGACTATTCACTGTTACATCAAATATGCTACAGTCTTCAAATCACATCAGCAAGTACCAATTTAATGCATTTGCTACCCACTAATGAGTGGTGTGGTGATATATGGACATTAAGATAAAGGAAAGAAAACAACTATAAATTTATTTTACAAAATTACTTCTAGAAATACATGCATAGTATAATCTAGCAGTAATTTTTAAACTAGAGGACGTCATTTTTAACTAGAAAGGATAATTACTTTACAACACAGTATTCCTTAGTCTGTATATCTAAGATTCCCTAATATAAATTAATAATTTTTAATTTACCAGTCTCATGTAGCAAATTACTTTAAACTTTGAAAAGGAACCAAAAAAAAAAAAAAAAGAAAAAAACCACACCAGGTAAACAAAGGGTTTTGTTTGCAAAAACCAACAGAAGTCACTCAGCCAGTGGATGAGTCTGTCACACTAAAGGTTGAACAAACAACAGTCTCCCTTGCTTGAGATGATATAAGAAATCATGATCCAGGAGAATAGACTGCATCTCCAACACGCTTATCTGATGTCTGCTGAGTCCGGCTGCTTCTCGGCCCTTCTGTTTTCTTGCACGCTCACTGAATGTGCTGGAAAGTTACACGCTGTAGTAGGAGTGACAGCAAGTTTCAGCAGTGCCATGAAGGGCAAAATAAACTGTAGCTCTTTCTTATGGTGGATTACATTAAGGGAGAAGAGTAATAATTAGAAATGATGTGTGCCAGACCTGATCTGAGACAATTTCAGGCCCAGCTAGTTATTTAAATCACATTCTGCCTTAGAAATCAACACAATGACAATATATAATCAAAGAAAAAGTATGGATCTGATTAGGATAAAGCTTTCAAAAAGCACATCAACTGATTTTATGTCAATATAGAAACCATTTAAATGGTATTCATTAAACTACAATGATTTTATATACTACTTGTTTTTCTCTTTCTACACTATTTTATTCTTACATTAAAAATTTTAAGTTAATAAATAAGTGAATTCACCAGAAATATCAGACTTAGAAAAATTTTAGAAAGATATCTTTGAGATTTAGATGGATCATTTTTGAGATCTGAATGAAACTTCACATCTTAGTAGTTTCAGAGACCCTGGCTCAAGCATATTGGTTTTCACTTTTCTTTCTCACTGTACAATGCTAAATGTTCGTAAAGTGGTCCAGAAACTGCAGCTCACACTGAGTTAAAATAATATCATTACTGGTAATTAATATTGATAATTTCACATGCATAACACAATTTAAGGCCACTCAGGAAGTAACATAATCAGGTGTTAAGTAACACACTATAACAGTAAACTCAGAGAAAAAAATGTATGTACGTGGTTGTTGTGAATAGTTAGAATAGTTAGTTGTTATGAATAGTTATACAGTAGAAAGAAACAGACAAGAAGGCTTCAAGGATAAACCTTAAATAATGAATAAAGATTTATTTAGCTATTTAAGCTGAAAGAGTAGAATGGACAGTAATATTTTACAAATGTTTACTGAAACATCCTAAATATAAACACAAAGATCATTAAGCTTATGAGCATGAAATAAATGTAGCTAAAAATAATTTATTTGTATTGTGAAGGATCTGGAAAATCTGATAC